GGTTTATATTTACAAGCTCTTTGTGAAGGAATAGATCAAGCTTTAGAACCATTTCGCAAAGAGATTGTTGATTTAGAAGACGTTGTTCTTCGTGATAGTTATACTCCATTATCACTAATTCTTTGTAGAATCCAAAAATATGTATGCTTATTTTTTGTTTTAAATGCCATTATACGAGAGGTACAGAGAGATTATTAATATAATATACCTAAAATGACTTGTAAACTATTTTAATAAAAAATGTTTTTATTTTACTTTAGATTTGTACACAAAAAATTCATGGTTGTAAACTACTACAGTGTTTGCACCAAAATGTGCATACTGGTATCCCTGATGTAAAGTTTGCCATAGAAAAGTAAGTGTTTTATTGTATTGTTTTATTTTATTTTTATATCCTCTTCTTTTAATTACTTTATTTTATTTAGGATATCACATTGTGTACATATAGTTTTTTATAAACATTTAACTAGTTGGCTTTTGTATGGTCATTTAGACGACGTGTACAATGAATTTTTCATTCAGAAAATATCAGATGCACAGAATAGTTTGACATTAGTAGACAATAAAAATAATTTTGTTGATGCAATAAATACAAAATTTGATGCAGATATGTGGAACTATAATATTAAAATAGACATGCTTCCTTCCTACATTAGACCATCTTTAGCAAGTAAAATTTTGACTATAGGGCAAACTATTATAATGTTTGGCAATGATCCAAGACAGAGAAAGGGTAATTTATATTTGAAAAATTTTAGATTATTTAAAATATATATTAAAATCATTAATCTTGTTCTTCTTTACAGATTTTGCTGTAGTTGATCAAATTGAAACTTCTTTATGGGGAGAGAAGGAATATGAATATTTTCGTAAGCTGCAGAATCTTCAAAAAAAATGTATTTTTAATATTGTTGAATTTGAGTGTACAATTGATGAATTAAAGCAATGTATAACAGAACTTTTATGGCGAGTTGCTGTTGAAGAAGCACAGCTCGTACAACAACTAAAATTAGTAAAAGATTTTTTCCTTATGGGACGTGGTGATTTGTTTCTTGAATTTATTAGACTTACAGCCCATATATTGAATAAATCTCCAACACACCATACATCTAGAGATATTAATCTTGCTTTCCAAATAGCATTAAGGAAAATGCATTTAAATGATGAAAATGCTATGGACAGCTTTAATTTTATAGTGCCAGTTCCAACAGAAGAAAATGATATTAAGGTTGAAGGTACAGAGTTTACTGAAAAGGAGCGTGAAGACCCCATTGGTAAGGCATCTTTTGAATAAGTATTGTATTCTTTAAATTAACAAAAATGTTAATGATATGTAATTGATATTATTTAATGTAGAAAGGCGTGGATGGGGTATGATTATTTTAAAATATAAAGTCATATGGCCATTACATTTATTATTTAGTCCATCTGCTTTAAATGATTATAACACATTATTCAGATTTTTGTTAAGAGTTAAAAAAACACAAATTGATTTATGGAATCTTTGGAGCGAACATATGTATTATAAAAATATGTAAGAAATAATCAGAATACTTTAAGTTTAAATAAAACCACTTTTGATTAAATACTAATAATTTTCCTTGTTACAGTGATATTGGTGTAATTCAGTTAAGAAATAATTTAATTTTTATTATTGATAATTTACAATATTATTTACAAGTAGATGTATTAGAAAGCCAATACACTATAATGGAAACAAATATGAAGAATACACGAAATTTTGAAGATGTACAAAGGGCGCACTCCATTTTTTTGGCTAATGTTATGTCACAAACATTTTTACTGGGAAATTCAATGGAACGGAAAAATCCTGTATGTTGTATTTTAATTCAAACAATTTTATAATTATTTGTTTATTTACTTTATAAATATTTTTAATAGGTAAATAAATTAATAAAACTTTTACTACGACTTTGTGATGATTTTATCTTACAAGTATCAATGTGGGAAGTAGGCAATCTACTGCTGACAGAAAAAGAAGAACTTAAAACATTATCTGGTACCCTTGAAAGTCTAATGGGTTGGCTGACTAAAACACTAAATAGAGTACGTGCACAACCAAGTGGTGAACATTTAGCTCAATTATTATTGAGACTGGACTTCAACAGATGGTTTAGCAAAAAAATGTAAACAGCACTTAAGTTGTTTTAATATTAATTGTAAGTGAAGGTGAGGATATGTAAGATATGTATATTTTGTATCATATTATTCTTTATTTGAATTAATTTATTATATGTATTATTAATCCTTTGCACTCCGACAACTCGGACTGCCAGTTGTGCTGGCATGAATATTTTTGTATCTTCTCGTTATACACAATTATATGAGGGCAACATTACATAATTAGAAACATAATTACAATGTCAATTATCAGTATATGTTTTTGAGAAAAAGTCTAGATTGTTTCGGCCAGAGCGCTAGAGGTGTGAACGAAGAGTGTTTGGACCGAACACTTGAATTTATGGCTTAAACTGAGGGTGTATGGCTTTTCAAGATTTCAGATGGATGTGATTAAATATTTTCTAAGAATGTCTGCATGGAATAAAAGAGATAGAATTCGTGAATGCGAGGATAAATAGTTGTGGAAAATGCTAGTGCGAGTCAGTGTAGAAAGAATTGAGCGTTAGAGTCGAGAGATAGAATTTTAGAGAGAGAGTTTTGAACTTAGTAGTTTAATTGTAGTTTGGAGTGAATTATTAGAATCTTGTTCGAGTAAATTTATAGTTCTCATTATATTCTACAGGTCTTCCTAAATTTTTTCTCATAAATTCTATTTTTAAATACAGAGTTGATGAAAAAAAATATTAAAATGTTTTTAGAGTGCAAAGGGTTAATAACTAGGAAATTAGCTAGTTTTTAAAGTCTTCAATTCTTACTCAATTTATTGTAAACATATAATGGAAAACATAATGAATTTAATGATAATTCTGTAAATAAGTTTAACATGTAAGCGGTACTGAAATACATTTTTACAATTCTTCATTCATTATAAGTTACTATCAATTACAATGATTAATGTATTATGGAAATAACAGTGTTCTTAATAATAGATTCTAATTTGTTAATCCTTTCGCTGCGGCCCAGTCTAATAGAATGGGCGTAACAGACGACAGACGTCCAGCTAGGATCGATGTTACAGACGACGCAAAACTTTTCCTTAGCGTGCATTTTGTGGAAAATATATAGAAATCACCGAAAAACTAAATTGCATTGTATTAAAGAAAAGTTTTTGGTGAATTCAAATTTTTTATTCCATTTTCAGTATAAACATTAAATATTTTAGTAATAACTGAAAACTTTTCAATATTAATACTTTAAGTATAAACATTATACATATGAATATCGATAATAAATGCCGAATGCCTAAAGGCGCCTACTGCATCATTTGAGCGATATTGGTTGAACGCCTGAAGGCGCTAATAGCTTTAAATGACAATACGTAATGTCCTACGCTGAGAAGATGACAAGCGGAACGAATATGGGTCTCATTGGTGCAGTGGACATGCTCATAAAGTCAGATCACGGGCATTTTTAGTATTGGTCTAAAAGGTCATATCACTAATCCATCACGTGACGGTAGCATCAAAGTTGGTGAGAGCGGCTAACTTCCCTTACCTCTATGCCGTCCCGTTCGTCATCTTCTCAGCACAGGACAGTACTTAGTTAAATGTCAATAGGCGTCAACAACACAGTGCAAATAAATTTTCAAAATGCCTAAACAATAATGAAAGGGTTAATTACATTTGTGATAATAATTCATAAAAGATAGTCAGTAGTTACATTCTTTTATATTCA